GCCTTTCCTGGGACTCACTTGGTAGCCCAGGCTGGCCTCGAACTCACAGAGATCCGCCTGCCTCCTGAGTGCTGGGATTAAAGGCGTTGCGCCACCACCGCCCGGCATAGCTCTTCCAAATTTAATGTGGCATTACAACAGCACCAACGGCAGCAGACAATCAGCCTAGGTGCCCATCAATAAATGAAGACAAAAACAAAACAAAACAAAACAAAAACGCAGTATATTTATACAGTGAAGTTTATTTAGCCATAAAGCACAAAATTATGTGTCTTACAGAAAAATGGATGGAATTTGGATCATTATTATTTTGTGGAAAAGGCCAAGCTTAGAAAGAAAGCCAGACTCATATTATATATTTTCTCTCATTCTGGGAACTTAAGAGTGTGTGTGTGTAAATATCCATATATACACACTACAAACATATATGACAAGAAAACATAAAGGAAACTACATGGAAATACTCAGGGAAGAAAGGAGAAGGTAATGCAATATGAATACAGTCAAACTCAAAGTATATTGCGTACCTGAAGGGCAATGTTATTATAAAATTTTATACATGACATAAAGCAGTTTTTAAAAATATACAGGTTTTGTACCTCAGCTGGTTCCATTTCATTAGTTTTACCATCTTCTTTTAAATCTTCAAATAATTTGTCAAATTCCATTTTGAGCTACAATTAAAAAATAATAAATACTGAACAAACCACTTAAAGTGAAAACTGCATGTAATTCACAGATTTCAGATCACTTTCACTGAACAAGTCAAATGACCAAGTGTACATAAAATAAGTATAAGATACTAAACTATTCACTGAAAAGCACTACAGGTGATTTTTCTACAGAAGTAAATGTACTCATTTCAGATGAATATACAAAAGAGCTACAAAGGATCAGGGATATAGCCTGCTGAGAGAGCACTGACCCCAGCATTTACAAGGCCCAATCGTAATGCTACTGTAAGGACAGTAGTGACATCCTCAGGTACCAGTCACAGTCCTGTCACAAATGACCCTGCATGTTTAGGCAGAGAATAATGGCCTGTGTCTTATTTTCATAAGATCAGGAACATGAAACAAATTAAACTGCCAAGGTTCTCTCTCCCACTAAAACTCTATGATTCTATTAGCATTTAAACTACTAGATACATGTAACTTGCTATGCTCTACAAAATGTTAGATAATTTCATTATTAGGCTAATTTAGCCGATCATTTAAACTGATCAGGGAAAACTGTAATTGGGAAATAAGAAGAATACCTCTAGTGGATAAACAGATATAAAATGTTTCAACGTTTTTGTCTAAAACTACTAGTGGGTAAACAGTCATAAAAATGTTTTAATGTTATTGTCTAAATTATTTATATTAATATTAACACTATATATATTTTTTTCAGAGTAACTTGGTGTAACAACATCCTGGATTACAAATTAGGCAAAATAAGTAGAGTAACATCAAAGATTTTAAGGTTTTTTTTTTTTTTTTTTGGTTTTTCGAGACAGGGTTTCTCTGTGTAGCTTTGCGCCTTTCCTGGAACTCACTTGGTAGCCCAGGCTGGCCTCGAACTCACAGAGATCTGCCTGGCTCTGCCTCCCAAGTACTGGGATTAAAGGCGTGCGCCACAACCGCCCGGCCAGATTTTAAGGTTTTTAAGATTGAATTTGCAACCTTACTAAAGAAAGAGAATAATTTTCACATTCTAGTGTTTTTTTTATCACCACTTTAGACATTCTGAAAATTTAAAATACAAAAATATAACATACACAGTATATTTGTGATTTTACGTATGTATGACTGTGTATATGTGAATCCACTCTTCTTTCCATAGATCTACTAATTAAAAATATAGTGAGTCATACAATGTTTATATCTGTACTAAGCTTCTAGCCTCTATACAAAGACTTCCCTTGTCATTGTTTCCTAATTAAGATAGTCTAATTACTACATATCTTTTATACTTATAGCAGATATTATAATTAATTTAGAAATTATTTAAAATATATAAGATATTCAGTGATTCTGTAAAAAAAAGATCCTTTTTTTTATATATAAGAGATTGGATGGTTCTAGTTTCTATGAATTAAAAGGGATGACTATAGTTCTTATCACTACTTTTTATGTTTGCAAATGAATATCTACATTCTATATGTTGTACAGTAATTTTCATTATAATTTTATTAACATACCAAAAGATCACTAATACTAGCACATAACATATTTATCCTGTTCTTTTAAACAGCAACTTTTATCACTAAAAATTTATATTATTGTACGAAATAAAAGCATACCCGAGGCATGCATGGTGACAAACATCTGTAATCCAAGTATTTGAGAGGCAGAGGCAGGAAGACTAGAATTCAAGGCCATTCTCAGCTACATAGTTGTGGTGAAAGTTTGAAAGAAATTGGCCCCCAAAGAGAGTGGCACCATTAGGAAGTGTGGCCTTGTTGGAGGAAGTGTGCCACTGTGGAGGCAGGCTTTGTGTTCTCATATATGCTCAAGCCAGGCCAATGAGACAGACCACTTCTCATTTCCTGTGCAAGATATAGAACTCTCAGCTACCTCTCCAGCACCATGTCTACCTGTACGCCTCCATGTCCCACCATGATGATAATGGACTGAACCCCTAAACTGTAAGCCACCCCAATTAAATATTTTCCTTTATAAGAGTTACTGTGGTCATGGTGTCTCTTCACAGCAATAGTCTAAGAAAAAGTGATTTAGAGGTAAGTCTACAATGAGACCTTAACTCAAGATAAAAATGAACAAACAACAACAAAAAGCTTACCTGTTCAGTTGTCATCTGTACTGTAACATGACCTGGCATAGTATAGCTTGGTCCAGCTCTTCTAGAGCCCCAATTATTCTCCAAACTCAATCCTAGAGCTATAGTAGTTTCCAAATGGAAAAAAATAAAATGACCAAATAAAAAGAAATTAAGTACCAGAAATAAATGTAAATATGAAACAATATTAAAAATTCCCACAGACCTGGGCCTGTAGCTCAGTGGCAGAGTAATTGCCTAGCATGGATAGTACCCAGAACTGCAAAGAATATAAAAAATAAAACAAAACATAATAATGTATATAAGTGCTCTACCACTGAACTATATACCTAGACCTAAAAGAGTTTTTAAAGCTAAATACTAAATCATTCCCAAAAGAAAAAAAAATATCACATTATTATTTGAATAAATTCTAAGCAAACATCCATTTTTTTTAACTCTCTACTAAGCAATTCTTCCTCTCCAAAAGTTATAAAAACAAATCTTTAAAATGAAGACTTATGTTAACATTGAGGAAAATTAAACAGGGTACACTGACCTTTCTTGTGTGTTTTTGTATATGGATGAATCTAGCTACAAACACACAGTTCTATATTTGGACATATAACAGTGGGACCATAAGATTAACTACCTCATTCTGCATGAGTAGTCTCTGATGGTTACACAATGACAAAATCAACACATTGATATGGTCCTCAGGATCTGTCCTGTTGTTAAATTATACATAATTGTATTTCGATAGAAATATAAAAGGAAAAGTCAGCAATTTCTTCAAAGGATTAAAAAAAAAGTTATAACTCAGAGTATTTTGCATACGTTACTTTAGCCAAACAAATTCAATGAGACTAATTACTTTACAATCCCTGCATTTTACAAGATCAAACTTACTTTTTGGTGTTGGACTCAATTTAAATCCATGTTTCTTCAACTGATCTAAAACCACTTTTCTATTTTCTTCTTTTCCCCAAAAAGTCATATGAAGTGGCATGGTAAAAGCATTATTTGCACCAAAAGGAACTACCCTATTATAGTAAGGGGAGAAAATGAGAAATTGAAAGTTATTTTTATACTAATTCTGAATATATTAAACATATTACTCAAACACAAAAATGTAAAACAAGAAGGGATTATTTAAGCAAATTTGAAAACTTGAAAAAGAATATCATCAGAGGAAGAAGTAATTTTTACAACAGGATGTCAAAAGAATTTGGGATGACAGGATAAAGTAGTTTACAAAAGATAGCTTACATCCAAGATTGGAAAATAAACAAAATAATGCATCTATTTGAGAGGACAGTTTTAGCATTCAATGTTCACTAAAAATTTATTCTCAACAGAAAAATATTATAAAGGAAAAAGCAAAGACAATGCTAACCACTTATTTTATCTTCCAAATCAGCTGGGATGAATATTCTAAGCATTATGATTGGGGTATAACTATCCAAAATATTTACACTAAGATAACAAACACAAACTCTAACAGAGAATAAGTAGACAGAATGAAAAATGAAACACTAACAATAATGGAAAACAAAATGGTGAAAAAACTGGCAGAGCATATGCCCTAGCTAAAGGGCAGCCACTTCCTAAGTCCCAGTCAATGGAAACAATGTGTCAGACGTATCATTTATCAAAAGAAAATTCTTAGTAAGTTTTATATTCAGAAAGAAAATTATTATATAGAAAATATAGGATATCTAGATTTCATTTCCAGTAAGAAATAAAGAAAACTCTAAACTGTGCAAGTGAGTTAAGCATGGTGGTGCACATTTCTAATTCTAGTACACAGGAGGCTATGGCAGGGTTGGGAGTGCAAGGCCAGGTTGTACTAGCAAAACCCTGTCTCAAAACAAAAGCAGAAAAGATAAACACCCCATTATCATGAAGTCCCTCTGGTAACACATGCCTGTCATGCCAGTACTCAGGAGTCTGAGACAGAAGATCACCATGAGTTTAAGCTATGTACAACTGTAAGAGACAGGATAAGAACATACTGTACTCTAATACCTAAACCCATTTTTTTCTCCATGGTAATAATGTAATAAGGAAATAAAAGTAAAGCTGTTTGATGGCTAGATAGGAAAGGCAAAGAAGAAAATGAACACATCTGAAAGGAGTGAGGTATGGTGCCATGACATTTCCAGAGACTCAGGAAATGCTTACATATTCAAAGATAACTAAAAATCACAATTATTAAAACTAACTCTAAAAGCACATACCCTTCCACTTGTGCCAATTTGTTGTCCATGATATAGGCCAAGGCAGCTGCAAGATCTCTCTTTAAATGGCCAACCTGATTTCCATTCACATTATTTACTTTAATTGCATTCTTATCATAGGGATTATTAGGCTCTCGTTGTAAAGAAACCATTTCATTATTATTTACCTAGTAAAAACAAGGAACAGATAGTAATAATATAAATATGAACAGTAATAACTTGACTTCTTTGAACTGTTTCTAGAATTTCTAATGATGCATTATTGTTAGTTTTTCTTTGTTTTTTGTTTGCTTGCTTCAGACAGGGTCTCATGTATCCAAGGCTGGCTCAGATTTGCTATATAGCCAAAGATGGTCTTGAACTGAAGATGGTATTGAACTTTGATACTTCTGCCTCTATCTCCCGAGTGCTGAGATTACAAATATGTGCTACCACTCCCAGTTTATATTCTGTTGGGAATTGAACCCAAGACTTAGAAAAGACTACAAAGCAATCTATCAACTGAGCCACAAGGTTCAGCTCAAACTAGAAATATTAAGGAATATATTTTACAATGATTCTTCTACTCTAGTTTTCTAATTTACAATCATTAAGAAGCCAGTAAGTCTTTAAGATATGAAAGGTATAGTTAAGTCTATCTTGAAGATTCATACCACCTACATTTTTCAAAATAGCTAATCTTTAGATATATGTGCCCCAAAATGGTACACGACTGGGTCAGAGACATATGCTCATCCATGTTCATATTTACCCTATTCATTACTGCTAGGACATAGAAATAGCCTATATGTCCATTAACTTATATGCTACAAGCCACAGGAATGTAGCAGGAATTCATCTGACTATGGTAAAGTTATACCTGGAAGAATCAGGGAATTCTTCCAGAAGAACCCAAATCTCAAGGAATATTTGTTGTTACTCAGCTTTTAATGTACCAGCTGTTTCCTGATATGAATTTCTTGTGCACTCTCATACCTTCCCCAAGAACTCCTAACAGTATATTTTATCTGATATACTTCTCTAGCATCCAAAGCCAAAAGGCAGACAGGATAAAGCATTCCAGACCAACAATTGAGTCTCCTGAATTTACCTTAGTAAACACCCTTACAGAGACACTGCCTGTGTGTCCTGGTGACCTTGCCTTAGCCAGAGCATTGCTATTGCATGGATATATAACTATAAACCTCAGAGACTTGGGGAGGACTAGATTGGAGAACTAGATGAAGAATCAGAAAGAAAAAATGGTAGATGAGGAAGAGCCTGATGAGGAAGAACTAGATGGGTAAGAACAAGACGAGAAAGACCAAGATGGGGCAGAACTAAGATGAAAGAATTAAGATACCACTTAGAGGGAACAGCAGAAAGATGTAGAGAGATCAGGCAAGAAAGGAGCTAAGTATAAGAGCAGAAAAGGAGCAGTGTAGAGAGAGAACTGACTCAGAAGTATAAAGTGTATGGACTAAAGAGTTTCGTGTGCATAGATTTATTAGTGAACCGCTCAGATTAATCCACTGCTGGTAGCATCTCTTCTGGAATTCTGGGTGAAGGCTATCAAGGGGCTGGACCCCAATAGCTTTCATTACTGATAAAGAGTGAAAATGTGATACCTATATAAAATGGGGTTTTATTGAGTTATAAAGAAAAATGAAATTTGCAGGTCAAGAGATGGAGCTGGAAAACATTACACTGGGTGAAGTAACCCAGACCCAAAGAACATTGCATGTTCTCAATCATATGTGGATCTTAGTGTCAAGTCTTTAGATTTGTATGTTTTATTTGGAGTACCTGTACAGTCCAGGAAACTAGAAAGGGACAATGCAGGGGTGTGTGTGTGTGTGTGTGTGTGTGTGTGTGTGTGTGTGTGTGTGTGTAAATGTGTGAGTACCCATGTATGCCAGGAAAGGGCATTGGACTTATGGAACTGTACTTAAAGGGAGTTGTGAGTTGCTGGCCATGAATGCTGAGAACAGAACTCCAGTTCTCTGCAAGAGCAGCCAAGCACTTGTAACTGCTGAGTCATCTCTTCAGCCCCCAAACTGCATTTTAAAGAAAAATATATATACTGGACTATACTAATATAAAATGATACATTTAGTTTTGTTTTTACAAAAGATCAAAGAAAAAATAAAGCAAATATAGAACATATTTGCTAACCTCTGAATCTTATTCTATGTTTGAAATTTTCTTATGATAAATTAGATAAATATTAGAAGTATTATCCAAATAACAAAGATGACTGTAATGAAGATTACTGTCCAGAAAAAACTATATATATTCTCAATCTGTCCCCTTTTCTTTCTCTCTCTCTCTCTCTCTCTCTCTCTCTCTCTCTCTCACACACACACACACACACACACACACACACACGCATACATTCATTCATTCATTCAATTCAGAGAACAGTGATACATACAAAGAAAAATCAGAAGCTATTCTTACTATAAAAATAAAGGAAAGAACCCAAAAGTAAATGATTAACTTATCTAGTAAAAAATTGATGACTTCCTAAATTCAGCATATATTTTCTACATTGGGGCAAATCATTTAACCATCTAGATCTCTATCTTCAATTGAGGAAGAGTACCTCAGTAATTACAAGAATCAAACGACAGTGTGAGCAAAAGTGCTTTATATACTGTAAGCATGGTTCAAGTCAAGAGAGGAAAGCCAGGAGGGGTTGGTCTGTGAGCAGCCTCAAACTTAACAAAGACAAAATTGTAAAATCCTTATCTTATAAAAGTTACTAACTTGTAAACTGTTAGAGTTAATTAAGGCATGGAAGTCAACTTCATTAATATGCTTAGAACTATGTTTGTAGTTATGCTAAGTGCAAACATAATTCATTCACAAGGACAACCTTTAGCTTTCTGTATATGGTGTTAAGGTTAAGCCTGAAGCAAGTTAACTAAAAACAAGTAAAGTTTGTTTAAAATCATTTAATAGAATATGGCCCTCAAGACCTCTCAGAGATCTGCTGAATATGGCATTTAAAGTGTTTAATGAAAAAGCTTCCTGTAACAGAAAAGAATTGCAGCTACTACTGGTGACCCCAAGGTCTCCAAGAAGAAACTGGGGCACAGATGACTCCACCTGGACAAAGAACTGTTCCATGCCTTGCCTGATGCCATGGTCCTGCCCAAACTGTGGACACTGTTGGGTTTACTGCCCTATTCTGCCTGGCTACGGTAGGTTAGTTTTTCCAAGTTTGTCATCCACAGGAAAGTCTCTCAGACTGTCTGGGTCTCATTTTAATATAATTTACTCTTTTAAAACTATAAGCATACCACAACTTTATTTAGTATCTACTCTTATACTCACTACTCCTGTGTAATAGCGTAGTCCAACAACTTGACCTCTCAAAGTTCCAAATAAAATGGAATCTAGCTCTTCATCACCAGTTGGGAAGTCATCTGGAGGGATAACGTCTTGGAATTCAAAACGTGGAAAGAAAGTTGGGTATGAAAGTCTTGGAAAATTTCCATGGTCTCCATTCTGGACAGGCTGCAAATACTTCCAAACAGGATCCCTATTTAAAAAAAAAAAAAAAAAAAAAAAAAGCACACTAAAACCACAGAACTTAACCAAGCATTTCTCAAAAAACACAGTCAAAGACTATTTTCAGGCCAATCACTTCCTTACATTTTATTTCAACAAGCAAAATGCTATGTGGCAAATATTACTTAACAATTACCCTGCCTAAAGCAAGAACTGAGTGGGGAAAGTTACCAGGATAATCTGACCTGTTAAATACTGGAAATTCTTTCCGGGTAAAGCTATATATTTACATTAAAATCTCTATGACATCTGAAGCAAGATGACATGTCAACATTTTCAATACCAACTAATGAAGAAAAGATGGATTTATAAAAACAAAATTACCATTGTATATGTTATTTTCTTTTTGTTTTGTTTTTTGTTTTTTTGAGACAGGGTTTCTCTGTGTAGCCCCGGCTTACCAAGAAACTCACTCTGTAGAACAGGCTGGCCTTGAAATCAGAGATTTGCCTGCCTCTGACTCCTGAGTACTGGGATTAAAGGCGTTTGCCCCACAGTCTGGCTATAAACGTATTTTTAACTTTTGACATAAATTCATCCAGCATCCTCTGCTTTAACCTCTTCAGAACAGAACACATTTTAATTCAGGTATCAAAACTATGGCATCATAGAAAGCTGACCTGAAGGTCCCTTACCTATACATCCCTGTTATTTTAAAGTTAACTTCAATCTTAAGGATAATTATTGCACAAATGGGCATGAAAACAAACCACTGTAGATGATTAAAAGTGATGTTTGCTGGAAGCCTTCTAGAAGTTGTCATTCTCCTAAAAGCACATGGGGCTATTCTTTAGCTCCTCTGCAGATACACGTTAGCACGCTTGTGCACATTACTGTCAGATACCCGGAGTCGGGCTGTCTCAGAGCTGATACAATAACAATTCTAGAGTTCCATGGAATAACCATGTCTGGAGCTCAGTGGGTAGCTAATGGGTGTTTTGATGAATAAGGCACTTCAGGTGGAACTTCGGACCCCCACAATCGGTGAAGGAGATTTTCCGAGGCGCTGGCAGCGGACCCTCGGGTCAGCCGAGACAATGCATTGGTGTCTCCGCGAGCCACACTCACAAGCGACCCGCAGAAGGAATACAAGCTGCACCTAGGGAGCGCATGCTCATTGAGGACAGCGCAGGGCCATCGGCCTCGCGCCCCACCCCCTCAGCCCTTTCACCTCTTGAACATCCAGGACATGGCGCCGGGCGGGGTAACCTCGGAATGCCCTGGGCGCCCCGGACCTTCTCAGGACACCTGGAAAAGCTCCTCAAGGCCTTGCGACCCAGGCACCAGGAACCAAACCGTGAGGCCGCAACCCCCGAGAGTAACGCCGCCGCGGTTTTATTTAGAAGTCGACGCCCACAACTTCCAGCAGCAGAGGCCAGTGACATTAAATGATCGGCACTGCAATTGCCCAATCGAAACGAAGAAACTGTGGCTATCAACCAATCAGAGTATGGGAGGGCGGGGAGCTCCTCCCCAGGCTGTGATTCAAAGGCAGTGGGATGGCGCGGAGGTTCCATCCGGGTTCTTTCGCGACCCGAGGGCGGTTGCGCGGAAAAACTTCGAAGCCTCTTAAGTGAGCCACGTGGCTTAAGGGTCCATGCCGGACGTGGGGAGAAGACTTCTTCCAGTGCCCCAAAAACCATAAGGATGTCCGCTTAGGTCTGACCCTCCCTAGCCCACCTCATCTGATGTAATGCCTTACAGGCCTCCCCTAGAGGGAGCTCTGGGTGCAATGCCTGCCTGATTTCCTCTGCTACTCTGTGACTATATTTGTTCTTAGTAATCTCAGTGTATGCAAGACCCTAAGTTCTGGAAATCTGAATGAGAACATAATTTCCCTCTCCCACCTTATTTTATTGTGTTTAAAGAAATTTTCATTTCTTAGTAGAAGAAAGCCATAAAATAGGACAACCTTACAACTCTGTTGCTGAAAGTGTCAGGCTGGTGTAGCATTGGTTAAAGGTGAAGTGGCAGCTGTGGTTTTCCCCAGGAAATTGAAGGAGGCACTATAAGGAAACTTTATAATATAAAGGGAAATTCAGGCCTTGAAGTTGTGTGTGCATCGGTAACAGCCAAGGTAGAGGTGATTCCTGCACCTTGAAAGACAACAAAACCGATATTAATGCGGTTTTTTGTTTGTTTGTTTTGTTTTGTGGTTTGTTTGTTTGCTTTTTTTTTTTTTTTTTTTTTTTTTTTTTTTTTTTTTTTTTTTTTTTTTTTTTTGGTTTTTCAAGACAGGGTTTCCTGGATCTCACTCTGTAGACCAGGCTGGCCTCGAACTCACAGAGATCCACCTGGCTCTGCCTCCCAAGAGCTGGGATTAAAGGCGTGTGCCACTTAATGCAGTCTTTTTAACTGACGCATCGTCACCTGCACCTGAAATAGAAAGCTAGTGGTAGCGCTGAGCTGTAAACCGTCAGAACTGCGAGATGTGTCTATAAGTGTTTTAAACGCCGTCATCCTGTGTGTGTTCACTATTGTAAATAATGACCATCTGTGAAACAGCAGTGGAATGAGAGTATTTTACGGTGGGCTGCTGGCATGGCGTCCTGGGAAATGCTATTGTCAACAACAAACAAACAAAAAACAATTCACTTTAACAGGGTTGAGAGGCAAATTATCAGTGAACATGACCTGGGAACATAGATTTAGGTCACCCCAAATGCTTTGTTCCAACTGAAGCTATTTTGTGAAGTTTTGTACTAACAGAACAAAGAAAGTTGTAAATCAAGACACTTTTCAAATACATTTGGTGGGACCATTAGGAAGGTAGAAAAAAGCATAACGGGAAACCTTTTTATAAGCCTAAGGCACTGACATTATCCTTAGCTTTTTAGTTTATTGAAAACTAGTGCTATATGTACATTCCAAATGATTTACCAAATGGTCACAAAAAATGTGTTTAGTATAGAGGACAATAAATGGCTATTAAGAAAGCAAAAGGTGGGCCAAGACCATTTGGCTCTGGGATTGCAGCATTCCAAACACTACACAATCATTGTAGCTCTAAACAGTTAATCAGACTTGCAGAAGATTCATTTGAAGGTGTATCATCTTGCCTGGGATTTTTGTGCATGTTAAGCATCCACTGATAGAATCTGAAGCAATTATTTCATTCTCCAACAGAAAAAAAGGGAAGATGATAACTTCCTTTCAGTTATTGTATTTTCTTCATGATGTATTGTGGTACAAATGGCAAAGTTTGAATTTTTTTTTTTTCAGTAGTGGGTATTGAATCCCAGGGCCTGTCCAATATAGGCTAGCTCTCTACCAGAATGCTATATCTTCAGCTTTTATTTTACTTTTATCTTTGTGACAAGGTCTCAGAAAGTTGCCCAGCCTGGCCTTGAACTAAATATAGAGCCCAGGTCAACTTTGACCCTCAGCAGAAGCCTCAGCCTCCACAGTAGCTTGTATCATCAATCACAGCTGATTACATTTTGTATGTAAAATTAATAAAGCCATGCTCATTGGACTAAAAGATAAAATTCCATATACCATGGTTCTCTCAAGACTTGGCATCTTTTTCTACTGAAAACAAAAACCCAAACCCCAACAGCAAACACAACCCATTGTCAATTTTAGCCATAAAACCAATGTATTTACTCAAGTAATAATACAGAAAAGAAGCCCTATACGAGCTTATTTTGCCAAAGAGGTTGCAATCATTCACCTGAGATTTCATCTGAAAATTGGACTGAAAATGTTCCACAACAATGCTTCCTTAAGCTACTGCCCAAATATATGTAAATGTATATAATTCATGTTTCTATAGTATCTGTTCATTAAAAATATGCCATATAATTTTCTAATTATGCTATCTATTGTCAAATGCCTAGAATGGTTGATATTTGGTGTTTGATAATTACATGTTAAATAAATAAGACAGGAGGATTTCTCTGAGGCTGAGACTATCTAAAGGGAATACAGAAGAGTGTGATATAACAAGACACCCAACAATTTCTTGTCACTTCAGAGTGTATACCCTGCATGCATGAACAAACATATATGTAACACATATATTCACATACACAAACACACAGAAAAAGAACCAAAGAAAATAAGAAAAGAGAAAAAAATGTTATTTATTCACAACTGTTTTTTCTTACATAATCAGGCACCAATTCCATAGCAAAATGCTGGGAAAACCATAGCTGGGAGAATAAAAAAAGGTGGTAGAAAATTAATGCTGAGTATAGTTCTGCTTGGTTAATTAGTATCAAGTTTAAACAATGAATAATAGGGCTGGAGAGATGGCTCAGCAATTAAGAGCACTGGCTCCTCTTCCAGAGGACCTCAGCTCAATTCCCAGCACCCACATGGCAGCTCACAGTTGTCCATAACTAGACATAAATGCAGGCAAAATACTAATGTACATAAAATAAAAATAAATAATTTTTTAAAATGCATAATATTATCTTTGCTATTATCCTTGTAAAATGAGTTATTCTAATGACTCCTTCAACCCATAGTTAGCAATATCTTGGTTGAGGTCTGCTTCTGAATGATGTTCAGTCTCAAGGTTGTTCCATAAATAACAGAGTAATGCAGTATCCAGAAGCCAGTTATTTTCCCATATATCCTTGAAGCAAACTGAATTGTTTCAAATCTAAAGGCAGAAGATAGGCTCACCTCAAATCCTACCCATTGAAACACCAAGAGATGTTTCCTTTAGGCCTATATTTACTGGATGTTCCAAAACTGCTTGAGATCAGCTTTTTGCTTGGCTTCCTATCCAGGGTCCTTTTGTTGTTGTTTTTAGACTGGGTCTCACTACATAGCTCTGGCTGTCTTGAACCAGGCTGGCCTCAAACTCACAGAAATCTGACTGTCTCTGCCTTCCTAGTGCTGGGATTAAAGGTGTTACACTATGACACCTGGCTCTGCCCAGGGTCCTTTACCCAGAGCAGCACCTCTCCAAGTCTACCTTTGTATAGAAATGTTAAATGAAATTATTACCAGCTACTGCAATGACCATGCCAAAGCTATCTTCTTTTCCATAATAAATACTGGAAAGATTGATTAACATTTTCTGCCTACTTTGTGGCTAAAAGATTAAAAGACTAAAACTTCAACTCTATATTCAATTTTGATATAATAAAATTTAATTTTTATGTAGGAAACTGTTATATTAGTAAATCTGTGTTCACCAAACTGTCAATGTCTGACAATCATACAAAAGACAAACTAAAGTTTAACTTGTTATTTCAAATACTCTTTTAGAAAGTAAAGGTTTAAAACTAAGAATCATGTTTCTCAAATCTAAAGAAAACATCGTAGTAGATGTAAAAAAAACTTACCTTCCTGGTTTAATAAATTTAGAAGTTCCACAAGACTTAAGTGTAGATGTAACCGTCTTATTAAAATAGAAAAACAGAGCCAAATGCAGTCTTGAGAGCCCAAGATGTCAGAGCAGTAGCTAAGAGCTAAAAACCCTTTCTTATCCTACAATTACCCTGATTCCCAAGCCAAACAAAGATGTAATAAAGAAAGAAAACTACAGAACAATCTCCCTCATGAACATTAATGGAAAAATACTCAATAAAATATTAGCAAACAGACTCCAAGAACACATCAAAACAATTATCCACCATGATCAAGTAGGCTTCATCCCAGGCATGTGAGGGTGGTTCAACATATGAAAGTCTGTCAATGTAATACACCATATAAACAAACTGAAAGAAAAAAAATACATGATCATCTCACTAGATGCTGAAAAGGCCTTTGACAAAATCCAACACCCCTTCACCATAAAGGTCTTGGAGAGGTCAGGAATATGGGGAACATACCTAATCATAATAAAGGTAATTTACAGCAAGTCAACAGCCAATATGAAAGTAAATGGAGAGAAATTCAATGTAATTCCACTAAAATCAGGAACAAGACACTCTCTCCATACTTATTCAATATAGTACTTGAAGTTCTAACCAGAGAAATAAGACAACATAAGGAGATCAAGGGGATAAAATTGGAAAGGAAGAAGTCAAGCTTTCACTATTTGCAGATGAAATGATAGTATACATAAGTGACCCCAAAAATTTGACCAAGGAACTCATACAGCTTTTAAACACCCTCAGCAATGTAGCAGGATACAAGATTAACTAAAAAAAAGAAATCAGTAGCCCTCCTATATAAAAATGACAAACACGCTGAGAAGGAAATCAGAGATACATCACCCTTTGCAATAGCCACAATTTATATAAAATAACTTGGGGTAACTCTGATGAAGAAAGTGAAGAACCTGTATGAAAAGAACTTTAAGTCCCTGAAGAAAGAAATTGAAGAAGATGTCAGAAAATAGAAAGATGTCCCATGCCTATGGATAGGTTGAATTAACATAG